TATGAAGCGGTATATAAATCTACTGCTATTGCTATTGCTATTCCCACTTCTACAATACTTGCATGGAGGAAGGTTTTCTGGATGAGAAAGGGGACCTTGCTGCCAAGTTTGATACTGTGAACTGGGTGACCTTTCCCAATGAGTCCTTCAATGCCGTGAAGTTTGGGAGGATAGATAGACCATGGGGGTCCAAAGATCTGGAATTCACCCTTGACAGGGAGGCCATGAATTGGCCCCAACGGTTTAACCAGGTGAGCTGTGATTGTTCATCTAATGTTCTCCATCCTCTTGTTCATTCTTTCCAACCAATTGGGAAATGTATGGGAAGTAGATGGATCTGGGATGAAAGATTGCTTAGAATCATTCTTGTTCGCTATGAAATAGCTAGGTTATTTGGATCACTGAATGAGGATTCCATGGTGAAGAGATCTATTGTGAATTACCCAGATTCAAATGCTACTTGGTTCTTGTTCTATATTTCTGTTTTTCATCTGTAAAGTAGGCTGTGATTGCATGAATTCTAGCTTATTTGAAAACTTCCCTTCCAGGGGTGGGTTCCTACCTACTCGGTCCAGTTTGCCCAAATAGATAGTAAAAATCTGGAGTACCTTTCTGAACCAGTAGTAATGGCAGCCTGGCCATGCCCCCGAACTGGTTCCCTCAGTTGCCACTCCCATTGCCGGTATGTTTTTTGACTGGAAAAGGAGGCAGAGAGAAACAGTCCTGTTGCCATGGTATGCAACAGAGAGGAACGAAATTCCAATTTCAGCAAGGCTTGAGGTGAAGGCAGGAGGAAGGTTGAGCAGCAGGCCGAGTGAGGGGTGGGAGGTGGCATTTTTACCTTCCCCCAGCTTCCAGAAGCACTCTGCAGGCTTCAGCAGTGGTAGGGGGAGGAAAAATGGTCATGTTTTTGCAGAAAATGGGCCATTTTTCCCTTTTCCCAGCCCTGCTGAAGCCTGCAGAGTGTTCCTGTGGGTCTGGGAGGACAAAAGCTTTTTTTTCATACTGGGTAGTTTGCAGGAGCTTCCTTAGCTCCGGCAACGCCGGATGCACACACCCCCCTTTTCAAATTTTTTAGACACCATTTCAGTGGGCATGGCTTGGTGAGGGAGCCATGCGACTGAGTGTGCATAAGTGATGTCAAGTTGGCCATGCCCACTCTGCCAGATACCCCCCATCTAGCCACGCACACTAAACCAATAGTTAAAAAAAATTGATACCCACCCCTGAGTTTGGCTGGCTGAGTTCGGGAGTTCGGGACGGCTGAGTTTGGGGCGGCGCTGCCACTGCCGCTTTGAACAATTTTGCGGCCTGAATGATCTTACGGCGTGAGCGAGTGGCATCGAGTGGCCTGTGGGATCCCCCTCCTCCTCCCCAGGAACATCGATTGAGAGCGTCGCGGCTTGAGAGAGCCGCGGCCGTTGGGAACTGCACGGCTCTTGCTGCGGTTATTGGGAGCGTTGGGGCTAAATTAGGAACACTGCGGTTTCGAATGCTGAGGACGCCGAGGACGTGCTTCCATACTGGCCTCGGCAGCGCTAGCAGGCGGTGCTAGCGGGCGGCGAGCACTCTACATGGGGCAGCCTTTGAAGAGTATTCGGAGACTACAACTCGTCCAGAATGCAGCCGCGCAAGTGATCGTGGGTACACCTCGGTTCACCCACGTAACACCTATCCTCCGCAAGCTGCACTGGTTACCGATCGGACTCCGGATACGCTTCAAAGTGCTAGTCGT